CCTTAGGTGTGCTGAGAGAGATCTCTGCTGAGCAAGGGACGTGGCAGCTGGGAGGACATCCTTCCTCAAACCCCTCCCTTCAATATTAGGGGGGAGAACAGGAAACCCTCTTGGTTTGGAAAGGACTGGGAGCAAAGCTCCCTGGGTCCAGTGCTCAGCGTGGGGCTCCAGCTGCTCCACCTGAGCTCTCTGCCCTGCCACTAAGGGATATATATATATATCACAGAGATATCACTATATCTCTGCACTATCACATAAAATTACAAGTCCCTTTYGGGTTTTTCAGTAAAATGCTTATTTTAGGTCTTTCTTTTCACTGCATTTGGCTTTCTGCTTCAAGAAAGTGACAAATTATCTGTCGTGCTGGTGCAGACAGTGAGATACATTCATTTGGAAGTACTATGGGGGAGCTCTGTTTAGGACTTTCCAGGAGAAATACAGAGCAGGGATAAGAGTCTGACCCCACAGCCAGATGCAGCCAGAGGGAGAAATTGGGGCAGGCAGACAGGAGAAGATTCTCAGACAATTTCCATAAGCAGAGCTCAGCTTTTTTTCTGATTTTTTTTTTCTTCTCATACCCCACATTCACAACCCTCTTGTCTGGGGATCCCACATGTCCCTGACTGCGTGTGGAGGCCTTGCAGTGTATTCACAGGRATTCACAGGCAATTCCTTCAGACCAACGGACCAGATAGGACTGTAGAATTTTTTTTCTCATTCTCTCTCTCTTTTTTTTTTTAAATCTGAAAGGACTCTGGTTTCTCTCTGAACTGGACCTAGAAATGTCTTACCACCAAAACGAAAAAAACAATTGGGTGGGCGGAAGTAGGGCAAAAAATAGTTTTCCTATAAGATAATCTGATAAACCTCACGGTCCTCTAGAAAGGCAACATCRTCCAGCAGTGCTACTTGGCACCCAGAGTGCTCTTGGAGCGCAGCAGATAGCGATCCACACGCACTTTCCGCCTCTCCACTGTCCTGTTCTCGCTGTCGAAAATCCTCTGCAGGTGCAGGGCCAGCCTCCTGTCCTCCTCCTCCTGCTGGAGCTTCTGCTGCACGTCCCGCAGGTCCGCAGGCAGCCCCACCTCCCCTGCCCCGTGCCTCAGTCTCTTGACGGAGCCGTTGTGCTCCAAGTGCTTGGTTTTGCAGCGTCTCTTGCGGCCCCGGCGCAGCAGCGGGGGCTGCTCCCCGATGATGTTCTCCACSGAGTTGCAGCTGCTGTTCTGCACGTTGATCAGCTCGCTGTTGTTCAGGTATTTCAGCTGCTTTTTCCCCGCTGCTTTGACGGGGACTGCGAGCGTGCCATTGTCAGGCAGCGATGCGCTGACGCCCATGACTCTTCTGCTCAGCATTTTCGGGCCCAGGCTGAGACAGGATTTGTCCATGCATGCATTCACTTTTAGGTCAGGGACTTCAGACACTCGTGTGTTTAGGGAGGTTACGTTTGATCTCACATCTGGCTCAGCAGCACTGCCATCTGTGGCTAAGGCCTGTGAGCCTCGGTTCTTCTCCCTGCCCCTTCCCAGCTTCATTTCACTGACAGAAGGGCAGAAATCCAGCTCAGGCCGAGGCTCTGCTGTGYCGGGTGCAAGGTGATCATCCTGCACTTGTGGCTGCTCCTTAGTGCAACTGCTGGAGTTGGTGATGTCRGGGACCGCCATGTCTTCCCCAGGCTCCGAAACCGAGGACGTAAGGGTCGCTTTCGAGAGAGTCTTTTTGATCTGACGCTCCTGAAATATCTGCTCCCATTTTTTCARTATTCTAGGGCTGGCCTCGTAGGTGGTGGGCTTCTGCAGGCTCCGGCTGAGGTTCCTGGGGGTGGATTTGATGATGAGGGGGCTCAGGACTCTGCCATCGGGCAGCCTCTTCGGGGGAGTGCACGGGGAGCAGACGATGGGCTTGAAGTGGTTGAGCTCCTCCGAGATGCTGTCGTTGCTCTCGGGGCTGATGGAGCGCTCGGGCCTGTGCAGGGCTGACAGGGAGGACACGGCGCTGAGGAGCAGCCGCTTCTCGGCCGTCAGCTCCGGGGCCGACAGGCAGCGGTTGTTCTGCGTGGATGCCAGCACCCCGAGCAGTGGAGTGGATGTGCTGGTGATGGGCAGCACCTGCAAGGAAAGGGAGCACAGCTGG